CACCGCGTAGTCAAATACCGCCTAACCAAAAATCACAAGTAACAATTAGTACTTCAAACAGATATAATCTATTACCTGTAGATCTAACCGAGAAGGAAAGAGACGACTCGTCTACTAACGCCAAAAAAATTTACAAACCACCGCCTATAATCTTATATGGGATAGAAGATATATCTAAATTAACAGAACTTATAAACAAGACGATACCCCACGAAAGCTACTCATATAAAGTTATTAATAGAGATCAGCTAAGAGTTATGGCGCAGTCAACTGAAACATATAAAAACTTGATAGAACTTATCCGCAGCAATGGCCTTATTGGTCACACATTCACACAGAAGCAGAACAAATGCTACAGGATTGTTATAAAAAACCTGCATTATACCACCCCTCCATCAGCTATAATAGAAGAAATTGAAAAAACAGGAAACATGGTACGCGGTGAAATAGTTTACGCCATATCTAGAAAAAATAAGAAGCCCTTAAATATGTTCTTTGTAAACGTAGAACCCAGTATCAATAACCCTGAAATAAAAAATATACAATATATTTACCACACTAGAGTTACAATAGAAGATCCAAGAAAGTCTACCGAAATAGCCCAATGTACCAGATGCCAACAATATGGTCACACTAAGAATAATTGTATGCGTCCCTATAGGTGCGTTAAATGTGCACAAGGGCATAAAACTACAGATTGCCCAAAAAGGATAAAAACACACCAGCTACTTGTACTCTTTGCTTTGGTGAACATCCAGCTAATTATAAAGGCTGCCAAGTGTATAAGGAGATCCGTGCTCGAAAAATGGCTAACTCAGGAAAAGGAAAAGTCCCTGTAGATAAGAAGCCTACCAATACATTTGAAGCCCAAATAGGTGACTTCCCTCCATTAAAACCCTCCAGGTATAATAGACTACAATCCTCAAATAACCAGGATAATAACAATTCGTACATACCGGAAAATGGGCCTAGCCCAGCAAACACTCGTAGCTGGAATCGAAATATAGAGAATAGACAAACTCAGCCAACGAGCTCTTTAGAGCAAATCATAATAAAACAGTCAGAAAAGATTGACATCCTCATCCAACAAATAGGGACTCTTATGAGTCTACTAACGACAGTAATAGCTCAACAGCAAAAATGAAATTCCTACGTATCGCGACATGGAACATAAATGGCTTACTCCCAAATAAGCAAGAAGTCGAGGTTTTTATAAATCACAATAAGATAGATATTTTACTGGTCACTGAAACGCATATGATTGACCAAAGAATAATAAAAATGAAAGGATACAATGTATACTATGCTAATCATCCAGATGGTACATCTCATGCTGGGGCAGCTGTTATAATTAAGGAAAACATTAGACATCATATCCTGCCACCATTCAAACATGCGCACATACAAGCCGCTATAATAGCTGTAGATGACTGGCAGGGATCACTCAATGTGGCTGCAGTGTACTGTCCACCTAGACACCGGATAGATGAGCATATGTATAATGACTTTTTCCATACGCTCGGCTGCAAATACATTGTAGGAGGAGACTGGAACTCTAAGCACACGTTCTGGGGCTCACGACTAACAACAACAAAAGGCCGGGAGCTGAAAAAGTCTATTGATAGTAATAACCTTAGTGTAATATCAACAGGTGAACCAACCCATTGGCCAACAGACCGAAAAAAAATGCCAGATCTTATCGACTTCTTCATCACTAAAGGGATATCTGGGCTCTACACTAAAGTCCAATCGTGTCTAGATGGCTCCTCAGACCACACACCAGTTATCTGCACACTAAGCACAACAGTTATTTACAAAGAACCACGGGAGACTTTATACAACCGTAAAACTGACTGGGAAGCCTTTCGAGAATACATTGAAGATAATGCTAACCTACGCATACCCCTTAAAAGTGAAAATGACATAGACGACACAGCATGGCAAGTTACTAATCTTACAAAAAGCAGCATGGCTATCGACCCCATATATAGAACCTAAAACACAAAGTCAGGACATACCGTTGGAAATAAAATATCTTATTGCTGCGAAGAGAAGACTAAGACGACAATGGCATACCAGCAGGAATCGGCAAGATAAAAAAGCGTTGAATAAAGCCCAAAAAGATTTAAAAGAACTACTCAAAGAAAATGAAAATCGTACATTGCAAGATAAACTACAGACATTGTCGCCATATAAAGCTGACGATTATTCAAGAACACATGCCCCCTTTAAGACAAGCTAATCGCGAATGGGCACAAAAACCACAGGATAAAGCGGAGCTGTTTGCCAACTTTCTAACGGATGTATTTACACCTAACGAACCGGACATAATGCAAACCGAAGACGAATTTGATGAAATCATAAATAGTGATCAGCAAATGTCTTTACCACTAAAACTTGTTAAACCGTCGGAATTAAAAAAAACTATTAATAATTTAAAACAAAAAAAAGCACCCGGTTTCGATCTTATTACCGCAGAAGTACTTAAAGAACTACCGAAAAAAGGTATCGTTCTGTTAACAATCCTCTTTAACGCAATATTAAGACTACAATATTTCCCAAAACTATGGAAGGTGTCCATTATAAACATGGTTCCAAAACCTGGAAAACCTCCAACAGAAGTTTCATCATACAGGCCTATTAGTCTTCTCCCCTTGCTATCAAAAGTATTTGAGAAACTAGTCATTATTCGCCTTCAACCAGTACTCAAAGAACAAGAAGTAATACCTGACCACCAATTTGGGTTTCGTGCACAACATGGAACAATGGAACAAATACATCGTGTTACTCATACAATACGGCAAGCCCTAGAAAGAAAAGAGTATTGTTCAGCAGTATTTCTCGATATACAGCAGGCTTTTGATCGCGTATGGCATAAGGGCCTCCTGTGTAAGCTAAAGTTGAACCTACCAAATACTGCCTACCTTCTCCTAAAGTCTTATTTGCAAAACCGTATGTTCCGGGTCAAATGTGAGGATTATCTATCATCAATCTGCCAAATAGAAGCAGGAGTGCCTCAGGGCTCAGTGCTGGGTCCATTCCTTTATACAATCTTTACAGCCGACATACCAGTTACGGACGATGTTGTCATTGCAACCTATGCAGACGACACTGCAATCCTTTCCTGCAATAAAAATCCTAACGAAGCATCCGCAAAACTACAAAAATGCCTGGACAAAATAGGATTATGGTTAAAGAAGTGGAGGATACGGGCAAGCCCAGCGAAATCAGTTCATGTTACGTTCACACTAAGAAGAGAAGAGTGCTCAACGGTGACTCTGGAGGGAGCTGTTTTGCCAAAACGGACTACAGCGAAATATTTGGGCATGCACCTGGACAGACGCCTGACTTGGCAAGACCATATAAAAGCCAAGAAGGAGCATGCTATTGGTAGGCTTCGTAGCATGAACTGGCTATTAGGCAGAAATGCGGCACTCAGTTTGGACAATAAACTCCTCATCTATAAAACTGTAATTAAACCAATATGGTTCTATGGGATACAGCTCTGGGGGTCAGCAAGCCGCTCTAATATCGAAATCCTGCAGCGGCTACAAAGCAAAACACTGCGAAATATGAGCGGTGCGCTGTGGTTAACACGAAATACTGAAGTCCATAAATATTTGGGAATTGCCACTGTCGAGGAAGACATTAAAAGATCAACCGTGCGATACAAAATGAGACTTCAGCAACACGTGAACCCCCTAGCTTCGGGCCTCTTGGAAATGACGGACAGTGTCTATCGGCTAAAAAGGGCGAAACTTGCCGCAATCTGACAGTTTAAAAATTACGGAGGGAGTAAAAATTATTGGATTTGCGTTCCCTAATTGCCAACCTTTCCCCTAAAAAATCTGATAAAAGCCAAGAGGCTGATTGCAGATAGATAAAGAGGTTGAAAGAATAAGTGACAATATCGATTCTTTATTACTATAATGTATTATGCACCTCAATAATTGGATTACATTTTGTTTGTCGTTCGAATTCATTACAACCAATGGTGTTTATCCGCAATATAGGTAGTTAGTTAATCCACTTCTACTCTCCCGGGATATAGAGTTACGCACGTGCCTCACACGTGGAGCGACGGATTACGAGCTGAATTTCTATTATTAGATATTTGCATTCCCAAATGCAGAAAAAGCAAAGCCTAATCCTTAAATGTAGGGATATATTTTATTTCCGGGAGTGTTTGCTTTGCTGTTACATTAATCCTAGGGACAGGTTTGAAGTCATGGATATGGATTATTGAAACCAAAATGAATACGAACAGATAAAAGAACAGTAACAAATATATAAAAGAAGTATTAGTTTTGTTGGATTTATAGAAGTTTCAAACTGAATACTAATCTTAAGTTTTTATATATAATATGTAAAATTAAAAGAATAAAGTCTCATTTTGTTATATTATTTTATTTGGATGACACCATGATGTGAAATATTAGTTAAATTAAACGGTGTACACTTCTGGTGGTTAAACGTGCGATTTCTACCGAACGCACGACTCATAACAGGACTTCTGTCTTTGGCTAGATGATGTTCGTATCATTTTCGGTGTGGAGTTACGAATATTCGGGTATTTATACTATTTAGGTACGTTGGTGTGGAGCTATGTGCATGCACTACAATACTTAAAATTTATTTCAGTATAATTAATAACAGACGATGAACTAAAATACCCTTGAGCAGGCGCCTAACAATGCTTCACCAAAGATAGCGATTGATAAAAATAAGTGAAATACTCTTACTTTATCAATTACCAAAACACTTACTGGATAATGGCTTACGTAACTTTACAGTTATATTAGTGTATATATGTATTATTATTACGTCGACCACTACAAAACACTTAGCGATTCCAATTAAATAATTATCTAATCCAAGATATCAGGACTTACAGAAGCTTACTTCTAGTGCAAAACAAAGCACTCTAGATAGCTCCCGGATGAATTAGTATAAATATGTTTCCGGAAATATCAGTGCTGAGACGTAACTCGTAAGTCGAAATGGCTCGTACTAAAAGTTTGTTAGTTCTTCTGTGTACCCTGGCAGTAGTTTCGCCAAAATGTTTATCAGATATTGATATTGCCAAAGTGGAATTAGAGGAGTACATAGATTTCAAAATTCCAGACATAAATCCGCGATACAGGCTGCACTACCACGTCACTCCACCGGTTGGGTGGATGAACGACCCCAATGGCTTTTCTTACCACGATGGAGAATTCCATCTTTTCTACCAGTATTATCCGTATGACAGTGTGTGGGGTCCCATGCATTGGGGTCATGTATCTAGCCCTGATCTTGTCCACTGGAACCAACTGCCAACGGCTCTTCTACCGGAAAACGAACAATGTTTCTCTGGTTCCGCGGTGAGCATAGGCGATACTATGGCTTTGATGTACACTGCACATGAGGTTACAGATAAAGAACCATATTATAATGAAAGTCAGTATCTCGCCTTTAGTGATGATGGTATTGATTTCTACAAATACGAAGGCAATCCTGTTCTACCAGCAGCTCCAAATGGCTCACCTGACTTTAGAGATCCCAAAGTATGGAAATATGGTAACGAATGGTATGTGGTACTTGGTAGTAAGACACTGGATCAGCGTGGTAGAGTCCTGTTATATAAGTCGAAGGATCTTAAAGACTGGGAATTTTTAACAGTACTGGGAGAGTCACAAGGAGACATGGGATACATGTGGGAGTGCCCTGACTTTTTTGAACTCGATGGTAAGTTTGTTTTATTGATGTCTCCTCAAGGAATGAAAGCAGAAGGAGACCGTTACAAAAATACTCACCAGAATGGATATATTATTGGTAGCTTTGACTACGAGACCAATGAATTCCATCCCGAAGTAGACTTTCAAGAAATGGACTTCGGGCACGATTTCTACGCTGCACAGACGACAGAACACAATGGAAAGCGGTACGTTGTTGCATGGTTTAGCATGTGGGAAGTTCCTCACGTAGAAGACGTGGACGGCTGGTCCGGAGCAATGACGATTGTGAGAGAGTTAACATTAGTTGATGATCGAATTATAATGAAACCATTAGATGAAATGATAGACTTACGCCACCACACTATTATGCATGGACGTCTGAGGTCACATGAGGTAACGGCTCTGCCACAAGCGACCGAATTGATTGTTGAAGGTAACATAAAACAAAAGATTGAACTGTATCTTCAAGGTGTCGATGGTGGTGGTAAAGTTTGGGTGCGGTGGGATCCTGCTGTTGGTAAAGTAGTGGTAGATAGAGGAGCTGGAGATGTCAGACGGGTTGAATGGTCACCGATCGGGTCCACAACGTGGAGAATATTCCTGGATGCGAGTAGCTTGGAACTATTTTGTGGGGAAGGTGAGGTGGTGTTCAGTAGCAGAGTGTACCCATTGGGAGGATGGAAGTTGACTAACTTGAGTAGTCAGTCCCTAAAAATCGAAGCATATCACTTAAAGCGAACTGTTCCAGCTTAAATAATACATTTTCGATACTTTTATTTAATGGACTGAACATATTGTTAATGATTTTTTATTTATTAAATTGAATGTTAATATAACTTTTATTCAATGAATTTTTATTTCAGTAAAAATATGTTTTTCATCTTACATTTTTACCATTTATTCTAACGTGCGGCTGCTCAACGTTGCGTATAGATTTTAATTTTGATACAAGAATCCAATAACCGCGTATAGACACATAAAATAACAAAATGTGAATATGTAATTTTCCATATATTTCATAATAAATTTATGATAAAGTAGATAATGTACTGTGTGTATATGTAGAATATAACATTACGTTACGTAATTTTTTCTGACTTTTATTTGTTGTATATTATTGTACTTGAGTCTTTAGTGGAGGAATTGCGATTGAAAATCTCTTTGAGTGGTAAGACAATGAAAGTGAAAGTATTTGAAAGAGGTGTCAATAGAACTGTATGGGTTATTCAAGAAGGATGGATATATCCGGGTAGGCTGTTACTCCGAATTATGAAGATGATATAGGAAGACGAGTGAATGCTGGCAATAGACTAAATGGAGCTTTGCATTCCTTTATATGTAGCCAAGAAATCTGAAACAAGGCTCGATTATTAGCGAATATTGAGTGTGGCAATAGAGAATGCCATGGAAATGGCCATACCACCTTGGTCAAATGTCACCCCCTATTTGAACAACCTAAACTTTTTAACACTGAAAAGTCGACAAAAATTGTATTTGGCATGTTTTTTATTTGATGTAGTATATACTCAACAAAAACTCCTGTGGCGTAGTAATGATAACAAGAATAAAGTTAGGAGTTGTACTCAGGAGCTCGCCATTCGCCAGCAACGGACGGCATCATTTTGTGGGAATTTTAAATATAGCGCGACTAAATGTTGGAATACTTTCCCTCCTCCGTTAAAAAATCTTCAAAATCAAATTTTCGTCGCAGTTATCAAAAAACATCTACTCAACAAAAATCTCACGAAATCTAGTTTTTAATCCGACCAAAAACATATATTTATCTATTTCTTATTTTTAATTATTAATTTTATTTTATTTACTAAACAAAGTGAAAAAGGCGTGAAGATTAATTAAAATAGAATATAAATAAATACGGTGAATTTTGTATATCAATATGTCTATAAAGTCTTTATTATAGCGCAAGTCCCTTATGTTACGTAAAAAAGCTACTAGCAAATCTAGCACTTCAATCTCAGCGTTATGTTAAGGCAAAACATTTATTAAGTCATATCAAAAACTACCAATATAGAAATAATATACATGTTTTCGATGTATATTATTTCGATATAACTAACTAATTGCTTAGTATAAACTTATCTATTATCTCTGAAACTGGTTATGAATGCTCTATATTAATCTCACCGGGCTTTAGAATGTGTACGTTTATCCCAGACATATCAACACAGACAGTGAAGGTTGATTAATTTCGCTTAGAAGTTGCGAGACTTCAGCCCGCGTGTAATCTTAACGATTATGATGGTAATTTGGGCAACGAATAACAAATTGCGAGGAAGTAATTAGCTCTTATCTGTTACATTCCCCAGCGGGTATTTTCACTTACATAATTAATACGTAGTGAAAATCTTATGTATTAAGAGTAGAGTGAGTTCATAGTAGCGATATTGTGTATCATGTATTTAATATTATATTGAATTTTTTTTCTTTTTTGTTTTCGACATTATCGTATTGGTTTAGTACTGTAAGGAAAGTGTATGTATATAATAATATAAAACGTGTGGCACTCGGAGACTACTGCGGTAAATCTATAGCATAGCATTTTTTATCAACTTGTGCAATTATAATTATTTATTTAGTTTTTTTGAAGTGAAACTTCTTTATCGAGGTTGGAAAAAAATTTAGTGTAACATTTTTTCGTTACGCGTCACATTTTTCGGTTACGCGCCATGTTGCTTTTTGAAGTCAAACTTCTTTATCGGCGTTGGAATGAAACTTCTTTATTGACGTATGGGAGAAATTTTGTAACAAATCGTCACGTTTTTCAATGATAGTAATAATTCTATTACAATTAATGAAATTCTATAATAATCTTCGTAGTAATAAGGTAAAATGAAATATTTGTATTCATGTCTATGATAATAAAAGCCTTTTGTTAAACTTTATCTAATTTAACGAATTTCTGTAAAGTTGCATATAGTAGATCATTTTTCGAAAAATAAGATCATAAAGAAGTTTCACTTCTTACGTGTGTACACCTAGTACACGCACAATTTATTATTATGCAGTATTTTTTTATTGTAAAAACTCAAGTGTTTTATTTGATATTAATTCAATCTACCACTCTACCAGACTTAGACTAACACGCCTATATAGTCTGTCTCACTCTAACGCATACCGGCTGCACCGGCCGCGCTTACGCTACGTCACCGATCTCATCAGAGAGACGTGAATAGGCAGTATGCGTTCTGTCCCGCACTAACTCGTATTGGCCGCACCTATATTAAGTCATCGTGTGATAGGTTTTTATTTTCGTTGCGGAATTTCTTGATTCGGTCGCCGCGCTCAAAGCCCGCGATAACATGTATGCGATAGTTTAAAAAACTTTATTTATAACAAAAGGGTTGTGACAAAATTCATATATCGCTAGTCACACTAGGGAGTCCCTGTGTTGTGGATAACTAGATAACAATTATTCCGTGTTACATGGTACATGTTTAAAACAGTTAAAAAAAAGTAATTTTAGTGTTACAACTATGTCATACTCGTGAACGGGTGCTACTTGTGGTGACTGGTCGTACTTGAATTCGTGTATGCGGTGATGTTAATTATTTCGACTATGTGTTTGCGTGTTGTTCCCACAAGAATGTCACTTACATTCTTGTGGGAACAATACCTACCAGGGCTCCTATTTCACCATGCCTCGTGCTGATAGAGGACAAGTCTTTGTTTTTAATTTATGTTATTATTATTAATTACTTAAGATGTCATGTGGAACATGGTGTAATGGTTGCAGCTCCTTACAAACGTTGTGTAAAAAAAAACATGGCGATTAAAAAGAGTGGCGGAGAGTTTATTGCCAGTTCTTCTCTTCCGTTCTACGCCCTTGATTTGAGAACTGGCAGTAAATGTAAAATTAGAAGCATTAATATGTATTTCTTTAATGACGAATCACAAGTGTACATTGTGTTACCTACGTGAAAAATGGTTTTTGAATTTTGAATTTTTTGAATTTTATAAGACAGTAAGTATGAGTGGATGTGTGAATGTGTGAATGGGTGTGTATGCATATGTATTCAGTGTTGCTGAGAGTTATTATGATAGCGCGCTATGTCTGTGTTAGCTTTTGGAACCCCAAAGTCATGCCTAGATTCTAGATCTGCCGTAGTAAGGCTGTCTGTAGATTCGAAATCTAATTCAGCTGGCGTAATTTTTATGTGATTTGCGAGTTTGTATCTGGATAGTTTGAATCTCAGAATCCATAGATTAGGAAATTTTATTATAAAGGAAGGGTCCCAGAAATGCAAAGAAGCGTTGCCCTAACACAGTCCTTCGTTTTGGCGTCGGGAATACAAAACTTCTATAAGATGTTTCTGTCATCTTCCTAGATGTTTCTGGATTATAATAATAAATTTATTGCAAGAATATGGTACAAAAGTGTGTAAGGTAGGTACAATCGAAGGTTCGCATATTCTGAATTTTACATTTTCATTATAAGTCATATGAATTGGTCAGTTACTATATTATTTGTTTCGTATATATCATATGTTATTAAATTACAGTGTCTCACGCAAATAATAATTTATTGTATAATACATTTTTTCCAAAAGTAATACACCAAGTCGATTTTTAGACTCTAGTCTGAAGATCTTTTAATTCTTTCTTCTTGATTTGATAGTCCATGGAGGCTGTGATACCTTTAACAGATAGCTAAGATGTACCTATAGCTTTCTTACTGAATTGGGTTTTGTTTCTAGGTGGCGTTTTACTGTATGTGAAATATGTGTGACTGTGAATAAATAAATGCGTGCGAAAATCAACGTGCAAATTAGCAGTAAATTGTATTTAATAAAGTTCATTTGTTCTATGAAATATTATTGCTATTCAAGTAATAATTTATAGTGTCAGTAACAAATTGTTAGGACTAGGCTAATATTAATTTATCACTGAAACAGACTACCTACGAATTATACAGGTTGAACCTGTTTTAATTATGTTAAAATCTACATTTAACACCCTAACCCTAACCCTCGTACAGACCTAAATAAACATTTGTGTTTTCTTAAAAATATACAGCGTTTATACAAACTCATTTAGGAATATGAATAAACTTTTTATCGCAATGTTTTTCTATAACAATTTTGTCTAAAGACACGAATTGTCTGTAATTTTCTGTTCCTATTTTATTCATTCATTTAAGAAGTATATTTCTTAACTGTTATCTCTGATATTTATACGTTAAAATACTATTCAATGTGTTGGCCTAATAATTAGTTTTATGTAATGTTTCGCGACTTTTTTTGAAGTTGACATAAGAGTCCGGGATCCACCGCCCATTTTTGCACTTGATTACTATCAAGCTAATTTTCCGTGAGTAGCTTTATTTTGATGAGACGCCCAATAATTTCCTGTACGAAACTCTCGGTTGTGGTAGCTAACAGAAGTAGCAAGGATAAAATATGTTGATTTGATGATTCTCAAATATTTATTACTAACTGATTTTTTTTTTGTTAAATCTCAAGACAATTATCTAAATTATTCGAAAAAATATTTGTCCTACAAAATCTATGGTTTGATCAAAGAGTCCCCTCTTTCCGACATGTATCGATAACGAGGTCATCATAAATGATTATTAACCAGCTGATTTATTTATTTTTACTTAGTTAATATTTATGTAATTTAACAGACATATTGTCCTACAAATTGCGCGGTACGTTATCCTGGTCCTACGCTCAGAAATTGTTAATACCACAAGACCATTTTTCTCATTACTAACTGTAGGACAAAAATATCAT